TTGTGTCCACATTTCATTGAATTCTTGGAAATCTTTAATTTCTTTTTTTTTAAATTTCTTCCTCGACCCAGGAATTGTGTAATTGTGTGTTACTTAATTTCCATGAGTTTGTAGGTTTTCTTCAATTTCTGTTGTTGAATTCTAACTTTGAATCATGGTGTTTGATAATATATAGGGGATTATTCCAATCTTTTTGTACCTGTTGAAGTTTGCTACGTTGCCAAATACGTGGTCGATTTTAAAGAAGGTTCCATGTGGTGCTAAGAAGTTAATTTGTTTTGTGTTTGGATGGAATGTTCTGTAGATGTCTGTTAAGCCCAATTGGGCCATGACTTCTATTAGTTCCTTTGTTTCTTTGTTAAGTTTCTGTCCGGTGTTCCTGTCTAGTGGTGAGTGGGGGGTGTCGAAGTCTCCCACTATAAGTGTATGAGGTTTTATGCATAATTTGAGTTTTAGTAATGTTTCTTTTACGAAAGTGGTTGCTTTTGTATTTGGGGCAAAAATGTTCAGAATTGAGATTTCATCCTGATGGATTTCTCCTGTGATGAGTAGGAAGTGACCTCTTTCATCTCTATTGATTGATTTTAGTTTAAAGTCCAATTTGTTGGATATTATGATTGCTACCCCCACTTGTTTCTTGGGTTCATGTGATTGGAAAATCTTTTCCCAAACTTTAATTCTTAGGTATCATCTGTCTTTGAAGTTGAGGTGTGTTTCTTGGGGGCATAGATGCTCATAAAGACCTCATCCTGACAGTTTTCCCATTATGAATGTGAAATGACCTTCATCTCTTTTAATTAATTTTACTTTGAAGTCTATTTTGTTGGATATTATCATACCTACATTGGCTTTTTTCTTAGGTTCATTTAATTGAAAATATATTCTCAAACCTTTACTCTGAAGTAACGCCTGTCTTTGAAGTTGAGGTGTGTTTTTTTGCATGCAGCAGAAAGATGGATCCTCTTTTGTATTCGTTCTGTTAGTCTTTGTCTTTTATAGATGAATTGATACCATTGTCATTAAGAGATACTAATGACCATTGATTGTTAGTTCCTATTCTTTGGTGAATTCCTATTATTTTCATGTTTTTTCCTTCTTTGGCTTTTGCTTGTGTGAGATTATCTACTGCCTGTGTCTTTGTTGGTGTAGCTAACTTTATTGGGTAGGGGTTTTCCCTCTACTATTTTCTGTAGGGCTGCTTGTGTGTATAGTCATTGTTTAAAACTGGTTTTGTCATGGAATATCTTCTTTTCTCCATCTATTGTGATTAAAGCCTTGCTGGATATAGCAGACTCACTGGCACCCATGGTCTCTTAGTGTCTTCTGAATGTCTATCCATGACCATTTGCTTTCACAGTTTCCATTTAGAATTTGAGTATTATTAAGTTAGTTTTGCCTTTATATGTCAGTTGGTCTTTTTCCTTAGCATATCTTAATATTGTCTTTTTTGTTCTGTATATGTTAGTCTTTTGATAATCATGTATGTAGAGAACATTTTTCTTTGCCCAATCTATTTGGTGTTCAGCAAGCTTAATGTACTTTCATAGGCATGTTCTTCTTTAGGTTGGGAAAGTTTTCTTGCAATAATTTTTGTTGAATATATTTTCTGTACCTTTGACCTGGACTTGTCCTTTTATGTATTCCTATTATTCTGAGGTTTTGTCTTTTCATAGTGTCCCCATTTTCCTGGTTAAAAAATTGTTAATAATTCATTGGATTTAACATTTTCTTTGATCAATGAATCTATCTATTTCCTCTATCATATCCCTAATGCCCAAGATTCTGTCTTTCATCTTTTTTATTCTGTTGGTTATTCTTGCATCCAATCAATTGCCCAGATTTTCAAGTTACAGTATTCTGTCAGTTTGTGTTTATTTATTGCCTCACTTTCAGTTTTCAGGTATTTAACAGTCCCCCTCCCCCCGTTTGACTATTTTTTACTTGATTTTTTAAGGGATTTGTTAATTTCTTCCAATTTTTTGGTTGTCCCCCTCTGCTTCTTTAAAGGAATTTTTCTTTCCCTCATTATGGGCTTTATCATTGTTGTAAATTTATTTTTAATATTGTTTTCTTCTGCATCATCTGCATTGGGATGCTGTGGTCTTGCTTTTGTAGAACGACTAGTTTCTGGTGGTGGTGTATGCTTCTTTGTGTTGTTGATGTATGCTTCTTTGTGTTGTTGAATGTATTCTTATACTGTCATTTATCCATCTCATCTTCTAATAGGTTCAGTTGGGGCCTGTGTTTCCAGGGTTCCTTTTCTTCCAATTGGTGCAGGTGGGGCTTGTGACTTATGTGCTGACACTTATTCTAGGTGCAGTTGGTGCCTGTGACTCTGGTTATTTGTCCTCCAGATGCAAGCATAGATGAATTCAGTGGTTGCTCCTCCAGATGCAAGCCTGACCCAGATCTGGTGGTTGCTGATGTGGTGGAGGATGGTCAGGAATGTGTGGTGGCTGTGCCCTGATCTCTGGGGCTTCAGTGGGTAGGCATGGGTCTCAGAATGTACTACTGGAAGCTAGGTTCTAGAGAGCCAGGCCATTCGGTCTGGGGCCCAGAAACTCCCCTACTCCAGGATGATATCAATGATTTTTGCACAAGTAAATTTCACATGTTAATCGGTATATCTTTATATACAGTTATGTTTAGTATGAAATATATGTGTCCATCTTTATTTTGAAATATTCCTAAACATTTCTTTCAATATAGAAGTATGTGCATCCATGTACAAGGCACTCAATTCTTCTGTTTTATGGAATATATATGCATACATGTTCATCAATAAGTTTTCTTGATGCTTGGACCAAGTAGTTGATAAGTGGGCTCTCAGTTTGTGACTACAGCGCTCAATGCAGCAGGAGCAGGAGGTGCTGGGCATGATGGTTGCGCAGTTAGGAAGCAGCAAGTGATATGTATATCCTGAGATCCACTTGCTTTATTTGTTTATATTTATCTGCAACTTCATGCAATGTAATGATACCTAAACTCAGAGCTGGTGGGTGAGAACCCTACTGAAAATGCCATCCTCGACTCACCTAGTTGTTGGTCTTCTGGGTAATTATAATTCACATCAATATTAGCCATTTTATTCTGTGTATTTTAATTTCTTATTTCACACAAAATTAACAAACTTCTCTATCAGTGGATAAGTTCACTGACCAAGAAGGGACTTGTTCTAATATATTTTGTGTTTCCTTTTTATTTTACTTTAAATTAAGAAGAATCTTAGTTTACATACCAATCACAGTGCCCTATCCCTTCCTCCCACTCCTCCTACCATCTCCCCATCCCACCCCCTCCAATTTCAGAGATGGTGTGGCCCTACCATGGGGATCATCAAAGTCTGTCACATCATTTGGGAAAGGACTGTGGCCATCTCCGTGTACCTAGGCTGAGAGAGTATCGCTCCTTTGGGAATGTGTTAAAAAAAAACCAAAAAACAGTTCATGCAGTAGGATAAATACTGACTCCACTGCTACTGGCCCCATAGACTGCCCAAGCTCCTCAACTGACACCCACATTCAGGAGGCCTAGTTTGGTCTTGTGCATGTTTCCCAGCTGTCAGGCTGAAGTCCATGAGCTCCTACTTGCTCATGTCAGCTGTTTCTGTGAGTTTTCTTAATATGGTCTTGACACTTTGTTTATTATTTCAATGTCTCTACAACTGGAATCCAGGAGTTCAGCTCAGTGATTAGCTGTGAATCCCTTTTTCTGCTTCTATCAGCTTCTGGAAGAATGCTGTGATGGCATGTAAGGTAGACATCAATCTCAGGCCTTGTTCTCATTTTGTGAGATTAGTCATATGAACATATCTGTGTGCTCTGCTTTTGGTATCAGCAATAAATACTAAGTAGGATAACTTTGGCATTGGCAACATTATGAATTCAATAACTAGTAAATAATATTTACAAAAATATATAATTGAGCCTGGTGATAGTGGCACATGCCTTTATTCCCAGCATTCAAGAGAGAGAGGTAATCAGGTTTCTCTAAGTTTGATGATAGCTTGGTCTATAGAGTGAGTTCCAGGACAGTTTCAAAGATGCAGAGAAATCCTGTCTCTAAAAACAAAATTGGAAGATGTTGAGTTTTTAACAGAATGAAAATATGGAAGTAATACATTGATACTTATATCCTGTCAATTTTAGATGACACTCACAAATAATCATTGAGAAATTTTCAAACACTTACTCCATCACAAACTAAGTCTAATGAAATTGTTCTCTATTGTCAGGCATTAGGGGCATATGCCATAATCCCATCATTCTAGACACAGAGGCAAACAGATATGTGAATTAGTCAAAGGGAAGCCTGATCTAGAGAGTCTTTTGTAGGAGAGTCAACCCAACCCAGAAGAACCCTAAGTTAAATACCTTAAAAAATAAAGTACTGCTATACATTTATGTTAAATATGTCTTTCTCCATGCCAATGCCTAAAAACTAAGTTTTACAGAGGGAAATATTCATGCTTCTAAAAATTTGCTGATTTTTATTTTGCATGCACCTTCAGAAATTAACAAACTGGAAAATCCAATACACAACATGAAAATAGGTAAAATTTTGCCCAATATCAGAGAACATATTACAAGGAAGAAACTTGAGAACACATTTTCTTGGTACTGAACTCACATGATCAGTTTATATTTATGGTATTTCAACAGGAGGAATCCTATAAAAATTGTTTTTGCAACTTAATTCAGTAATGTATGGCTATATAAATAGGTGAATATTGCCACTTAAACACAAACATGTTTAAGTACAAAGATGAAGAGAAAAGAATTATTCACAGCATGTCCCCCAAAAAGACAATAGGCAGAATGAATATGGGATTATTAAATTCAGACCATTTAGGAATTTTCACTCTTGAGGACTAATTTGCTTGAGTCTAAAACACTGAAGCAAGAGATGTATGTAACATGTCAGAAAGCTGGTGCTGGGAAGGTGTTTGGGATAGGAGGTGTGCCTGAGCATGGACTCAAGATATATTTTTCCCTGAACAGATATGGATAACTGTGTGAAGTGTCCAGAAAGTCACTATGCAAATGCACAGCAGACCCACTGCTTTGAGAAAGCTGTGACTTTCTTGTCCTATGAAGATCCCTTGGGGATGGCACTCTCCTGCATGTCCCTGGGGTGCTCTGTCCTCACATTGGGTGTTTTTAGTGTCTTTGTGAAGCACCACCACACTCCCATTGTCAAAGCCAACAATCAGGCTCTCACTTACATCCTGCTCATGACTCTGACTTTCTGTTTTCTCTGTCCCTTGCTCTTCATTGGCCATCCTAACACAGTCACCTGTATCCTTCAGCAGAGCACATTTGCAGTTTTGTTCATGGTGGCTCTCTCCACAGTCTTGGCCAAAACTCTTACTGTGGTTCTGGCCTTCAAGTCCACAGTTACAGGGAGAATGGTCAGCTGGATAATGAAATCAAGGGCTCCTAACTACATCATTCCCATCTGTTCTCTTATCCTACTTGTGCTCTGTGGAATTTGGCTGAGCACCTCTCCTCCATTTACTGATTCAGATGCTTACACTGAACATGGCCACATCATTATCATATGCAATAAGGGCTCCACTATTGCCTTCCACTCTGTCCTGGGATACCTCTGCTCCATGGCACTTGGGAACTACATTTTGGCTTACCTGTCCAGAAACCTGCCTGACACATTCAATGAAGCCAAGTTGATGACTTTCAGTATGTTGGTTTTCTTCAGTGTGTGGGTCACCTTCCTTCCTGTCTACCACAGCACCAAGGGCAAGGTCATGTTGGCCATGGAAGTCTTTGCTATCTTGGCTTCCAGTGCAGGTCTCCTGGGCTTCATCTTTGCCCCCAAGTGCTACATACTTTTGTTAAGACCAGAAAGGAACTCACTGCATTTCATGAAGAGCAAAACACATTCCATAAGAAAATTTTAATATACATTTTTCCATGTGTTTCTTAATTACATAAAAATCTTGAGCACAGTTAAACACTATTCCACTGTCAGCAATAATGTTGCAAATTTAGATTTTATGTTTAATGCTTTAGTTTGTTGATTTAATTGGTCTTCATGGTCTCATCTTCTAATATGATATATTTTTTCTGTATCTTAGATACTTAACTACCATAAATTAATTTTTTATATGTATTAGTAATAAAGTGGAAATAATTGACTTGAATATTAATCTTTGCCTCTTCAAAATTTTTGAACCTTGCCTGTGATGCAACAAATATTTCCATATGTATTGGTATATTACTAATTCCCTTGATATGTTACATGAATACACGCACTTTTCATTTCATGTATGCTCTCACTCTAAAGAAAAGCACATCTTGAAAATTACATTGGATCTTGCCATATTGGAAGCATTTTGCCAACTCTTTGCTTAAGCAGTAATGCTACAGTAGAATGAAGGTAAATTTAAATCTTTACATTGTAAGCTAAAGTCAGATATCAAAAAAGTGAATACTCCAGGTAACAGACAATTATAGAAAGCTTCTATTAAATCTATGAAGAATGTTAAGTGTCAGACTGTATCCACATCATCATAACTTGGACTCATTTCTCTTTCTGACTCATAATATCTAAATAGCTGTTTGTGTACTCCCCTCTACACAATGCTTCATTTTTATCAATTGATCTACATTCTTCCAACTGAAAAGCTATTGTATGAATCCTGCACATTCCTGAATTACCACTTCTCAAAATTCATCACCATTTCATTATTCTCCAATTGTCTGAGAACAACACTTTTTGATCCTCTCCTTTCTTGTATACTGAAATTTGCATGAATATATAAGGTTTTCTCTTACAAGTCATGTATGTAGTTATGGCTCACAAATCCTTCTGTTCATAGTACAGGAGCTACTAACTTACAAGAATAATGTAGGAAATAAATTGCTCCAAAATGTAGAGTTAAATTAATAAAAGGCTAGATTTTGTCTTTGAGAATTGGTACATTTATATGTATTTATTCATCTATGTATCTATGTATCTATCTATCTCTAATGTTTTATATCCTAAAAGTAGTTTTCCCTCACTCCTCTCATTCCACTCTCCTCTTCCCAACCTCACCTCTCCACCAGATCCATTCCACCTCCATTTCCCTTCAGAAGAGAGCAGTTCTAATCAAGGATATCAATCAAACATGGCACATCAAGTTACTGTGAAAGAAGTCATGACCTTTAATATTCAGGCTAAATGAACCAATCTAGTAGGAGAAGCAAGGTCTCAAAGGCAGTCAAAAGTGTCAGAAACATCCCCCATTCTCATTGTTAGTGGTCCAAATGGAGATTAAGCTGCACAATTGGATGGAGACAAAAACATAAAACAATCAATTCAGAATAGGAAAAGCAACCAAAGAAACAAACAAAAATTGTAAAATAAATGGAAATCCCTATTTATTTCTTTTTATGATACCATCTACTCTTGGTCATGGGGTTTTCCCTGAATTGTGTTAATACTTCCAGTGAGACACAATTGGAGATATATTACTTACATTTATTTCCTGGGCAGGGCTTTGCAGTGCTCACTGAAAAAGTTTAATCTTTGAAGGAATTAATTGTCATTAAGAAGAAAGTAGGTCAAAGTTCAGAATATAAATGGGAAACCCAATTTATTTGTTTATTCATTTTTTGAGGGAGAAAGAGTTTATTTTAGTTCACATTTAAGTTTCATTCCATAGCAGGCAAGTCAAGGTAGACACATCACATCCACAGTCAAGAACAGAGAGACACAAATGCTTGCATGCTCACTATGCAGTTTATTCTCTCCATTCTTAGTGTTCAAACCCAGAGAACTGTATCTCCAACAGTGGGTCTTCTCTGGATGGAAAAGCATGTGATATCTAGGGAATGTGTGCTAGATTTGTGGACTGGCATAAGACACTTATATGGGGGGTGGAAAGTTAGGAGGGGAAGATCTGTTTGCTCCATTTGATCTTTTGCCCTCCCATTTTATTATATCTGTTGGTGATATCCTTGCACTAGTCATGTTAAGACAGTCATATTTTTGAGAATTCATGGGTGTAGCTTCTCTGAAATTCACTAGAGGCACAATATTATAGCACACTTCCTGTTCCTCTAGCTTTTCCAATCTGGGAAACCCAATTTAAACATTGATATTTAGTCATTAATTCTGAGATGATGAATTCAGCCAGTCAATTTCTCATGGTTGAGGCAGAAAGTATTTCAGATGGTAGGAAGACTGGTGTAATATTGGCTTATAGATATTAATTATTCACACAGAGTGTTTAAAGACACCTTAGTGCACTGAAATGTTAGCCTTCCATAAGCAATAATCATTTTGAGAGAGCAGGGTATTATTTTGATATTCAGTGGACCACTTCTGGGTTAACATTTTCTGGATGTTTTCCTTCTCACCTCAAATGGTTTCCTCTGTTGGAAGACATTTGCATCATAGCAAGTCACTTTTGCAAGTAACTATTATGGGTGATAGATTTGTGCAAGTATACACAAGTAGAGTCACCCCTTGGGTCTTGTCGACTGTCATTGCAAATGTTATCAAGAGGCTGAAGGAAAAAAAGGATTTGTAAATGTATTTTGAAGCTTGTTTTATCTCTTATGGATAGTTTTAAGTGGGAGTAGTGAGGGAAGATAGTTCCTGAATTGTCCATAGAATAGATTTCTGCTAAACATATTTGATTAGGGTGATGACTTCACTCACCAACAGTATTACAAAGGCTTATGCTCATGAATACAGAGTATGTATACCATCAATGTCCACCTTCTGACCCATATCCCATGATTATGCTGTGGTAGACACTTTTATTTTATGATGCTCTCTTTGATTTTTTTTCAGCTGGGAGCTTACACGTGTCATTTTTTCATTTTTTATTAGTTCAAATTAGGAACAAAATTGCTTCACATGACAATCTCTACTCCCTCTCCCTGCCCTCTGCCCCCCAACACCCACCAGCTCCCCATCTCATTCCCCTTACGCTCCCCAGGATGGGTAGGGCCCTCCATGGGGGCTCCCCAAAGTCCACCACATCATCTTGGGCAGGTCCTGGGCCCTCCCCTATGTGTCCAGGCCAAGAGAGATTCCCTTCATGTGGGATGGGCTCTCAAAGACCCTTCTTATGCCAGGGAAAAATAGTGATCCACTACCAGGGGCCCCATAGAGTGCCAGGCCTCCTCATTGACATTCACATTCAGGGGCTTGGACCAGTCCTGTGTTGTGCTCCCAGATCACAGACTGGGGGCTATGTGCTCCCCCTTGTTCAGGTCAGCTGTTTCTGTGGGTTTCACCAGCCTCATCTCAACCCCTTTGCTCTTCATTCTTCCCTCTCTACACCTGGGTTCCAGAGTTCAGTTCAGTGTATAGCTGTGGGTGTCTGCCTCTGCTTCCATCAGCCACTGGTTGAGGACTCTAGGATGGCATATGAAGTAATGATAAGTCTAGTTATAGGGGAAGGGCATTTAGGGTAGCCTCACCACCGTTGCCTAGATTGTCAGTTGGTGCCATCCTCCTAGATCTCTGGAAATCTCTCTAGTGCCAGATCTCTCCTTGAACCTATATGGCTCCCTCTGTTATGGTATCTCTCATCCTGGACTCCTTTACTCTTCCCCTGACTCAACCTTTCTACTCCTCCATTTCCTCCTCTCCCCTTGTTTCAGTCCATTATCACCATGGCAGGGAGCATGGTAGCCTGCAGGTCTCTCTTGGATTTTTAGCCTCTACCTCCTGTAGACTCTTGTTCTTGTGTGCACCTTTGATGTTTCTCAGTGTTATTTGAAAACACAATGGAATCGATTCAGTGATGGAAATGTGGTGATTGCTGAATTTGTTCCACTCTTTAATTATTTTATCAGGAAAGCATCATTTGATTTCAAATTTAAAAGATACTATGACATCCAGTAAGTGCTTTAAAAAGTTCATTCATTTTCCGAATTCAATGTTCATTGTCTTCAAGTACGTTTGGATGCATGTAAATGTAACCTTTTCCCCTATCAGGCTTCCTACTCTTAGTCACACAAGTATTTTAAATGTATGCTTTCCTGATAACCTATTATCTTCTCTCAAGGATAGATGAGGAGTCTTCCTTTATTGATGTTACTTGAGAATTGGTTTTGCTCTGATTCTCTCTAACTTGCTCTTCCTTGCCTTTAGGTGCTCATGGGTAGAACATTTAATTGCTTTTTTCTGCATAAGGAATGTTGAGTTCTAATTGACATGTTACTTTGGTAATTTTCAAGTGCAGTTTTTCTCCTGGGAGAAATAACTCCAATGACTGAAGTGACTCCATAGTTCTGTATGTGATATTGCAATGACAAGCTGGGCTTATGTTGGCTGTTTCTCATAATAGAGGGGCAATGTGAGAATTTGGAGTTGGGACTCTTATATTACAATCATATTATATGACACAAAATATTTTTAAATTGATTAGAAAACTTGTAGATTCTGTTAATTTTGCTTCATTTCACTCATTTTATCCCAATTTTTTCAATTGTTGCATACTCATACTGATGTGTTTGGAGGGACACATTGATGTGGCTGGTGGGCACTGAGAATTATTTCTTAGTTAGTTTGATGCCTGTAGAATTAGATGGAATCAGAAGACATTTGATAGAATTGTGTGGTATTTGCTCTGGAGAAATGCCTTTGTAGGATTCATTGTGAATATCTTATTCTATGTAGACATTTCTGTAGCTGTAGGGTCCACATACTAAGATCCTAAATAGAGCCTGGTTTTCATGGCATATGCTTTTGTTTCCAGCACTCATGAGACACAGGCAGGGAGATCTTTTTGAGTTTGAGGCCAGCTTAGTCTACAGAGTGAGTTCCAGGACAGCCAGGACTGTTTCACAGGCTGGTAATCTTTTGCTCTATGTATAAAATCCATATATGAGTGAGTACATATCATATTTGTCTTTTTGTGACTGGGTTACCTTGCTCAGAATGGTTTCTTCTAGTTCCATCCATTTGCCTGTGAATTTCAAGATTCCATTGGTTTTTCTGCTGAGTAGTACTCCATTGTGTAAATGTACCACATTTTTCTTTCACTGCTCTTTATATTCTTTTTTATTCTGTATGTCTGATTTTTGATTATTATGTGGTGAGGGGACTTTTTTTTTGCTCCAGTTTATTTGGTGTTCGGTAAGCTTCTTGTGCTTTCATAGGCATGTCCTTCTTCAGGTTGGGAAAGTTTTCTTCTATGATTTTGTTGAATATGTTTTCTGCACCTTTGAGTTGGGCTTCTTCACCTTCTTCCATAAGTTTGTTCTTTTCACAGTGTCTCTTATTTCCTGGATAATTTGTGTTAAGGATTTGTTGGATTTAAGATTTTCTTTGGTTGAATCTATTTCCTCTATTTTATCTTCAGCACCTGAGGTTTTCTTTTATCTCTTGTATTCTGTTAGTTTTATGCTTGCATTTTTATATCCTGATAATTTACCCGGCTTTTCTATTTCCTGTATTCCCTCAGTTCTTGTTTTCTTTATTGTCTCTACTTCAGTTTTTAGGTTTTAAACTGTTAAATTGTTTCTTTCATCTGTTTGATTGCTTTGTCTTGGCTTTCCTTGGTTCTTTAAGAGATTTGTTTATTTCTTGCATTTTTTGCTTTGTTTTCTCTCCCATTTCTTTAAGGGATTTTCTCACATTCTTTGTGAGGGCCTCTATCGTTTTCATGAATTTGATTTTAAGGTCATTCTCTTCTGCTTCATCTGTGTTGGGATGTTCAGGTCTTGATTGTGTAGAGTTCCTAAACTCTGGTGGTATCATATAAGTCTTTTTGTTGTTGGATGTGTTGTTATACTTTGTTTTCTTCTTTCTGTCTCTTCTTCATGTGGGTAGTTGTAGGGTCTCTCACTCTCCTCTCTTCTCTCTCTCTGTCTGTCTCTGTCTCTCTGTGTCTCTGTCTCTGTCTCTGTCTCTCTGTGTCTCTGTGTCTCTCTCTGTCTCTCTCTCTGTCTCTGTCTCTCTCTCTCTTTCTCTCTCTCTCTGTCTGTCTCTCTCTCTCTCTGTCTCTCTCTCCCAGTGGGTGAAGTGGCAAGACAGGAATGGCAGCTGAGGATCCTGGCTGCTTTGTTCTGCCTGCAGGTCCCTCTGTGTATTTGGTGGCAGGAAGCATCTGGTGGCAGCAGGTCAGGGGTCTCAAAGAAACAAGAGTGGCCTGGGAGAGCCTCTAGTACTCACTTCTCTACTGGAGGGTGGCAGGGCAAAAAAGGAATGGTGGCTGAGGATGCTGACTGCTTTGTACTGCCTGTAGGTCCCTCTGATTTCATTTTGTATTGGCCATATACTCATGGGCATAAAGCTTGCACTAAAGTGTGTTTTTACATTGAGTGAGATGCCATTGATGAAAACTAAATTTCTCTTTAATTTTCCTTCACTGAAGAAGCTAGTACTTTCTTCTCAAATAATCTGACTTTACGAAAGAGTCAACCTGAGGGAAGAGGAAATTGTTTTTGAAATAAAGTCATGTTATTTCTAATTTATAAACCACTGGTCATGGAAAATACACCTGGACAGATAATATGGTAGGAAGGGACATGGCTCTATGTAAAATTTATGAAAATGAGTAAAGTCAAAGTTATTCTTGTATTAATAACAAATGCAACTACTGAGGTGAGAACATCAGCTCAACAAAAATGTTTCCACCCTTAAATCCCAACTTAAAGTAAGATGCTATTATAATTCTCCTATAGAGTACATCATATACATCAGTTAATAATACAAATCCTGTGTGTAATTATGCACAAATGATTGTTCTTCATTATACTGGTTACTTATACTTCCCTGAAATGAAACATGTAATGGAATATAGGCTTACTTTACTTTTAAAGGATATCAGATTATTCTTGAAGGACAAAAACAGCAGAATTCAGAAGAGAAGCAGGTGCTGAGAGTTTGTGGTATTGACTCTTCAAGTAGTAGAGGACAAGGAAGCTGAGACTGAAGGTCAGAACCTACAAACACCTTCGAGTAATAATCCACTTCCACTGTAAGGTTCATGATCTTAAAAGTCCTACAGCTTCCACGTATCACCAGAATCTGGGTGTCATAAAAGGCAAAATTAGAGCAAGAAGAAAAGTAAAGTATTGTGTTACAAACCCCATTAGTTTTAGATGCACATCCAACATCTAAAAGTAGTACTGGGATGATCTGGCCTCGTTGGCATACTCTATACTGTCAGATCTGCTTGAGTAACCACATTACCTCTGTTATTCTTCATCTTCACACAATGTATATTACTTTCTTCTTCAGAAGACGTCCTAGATGCTGTATATTCTCAAGTCTAACTTACAGGGACTAAGTCTTATTATTTTCGTATTTCAAATTATTTTATGTTATCACTAGTAGTGCATCTGTTGTCTCTATTATTATTCTAATTGCAATTTTGTCAAGTTTTTAGTTTTCGATTTCACTTTACATTCCAACCACTGTTGTCCCAACCCCTCTTTCCCCATGCCTCCTCCCATACTCCCTTGCTTGCTCCCACCCCTCCCCCCTAGTCCATTCCCAGTCCACTCCTCCTCACAGGTAAGGGGTCCTATGAGGAGTCAGCAAAATCTGTCTCATTAGGTTCTGGCAGGGCCCTGTGCCTCTCTATGCATTAAGATTTAGAATGGTTTCCCACCATATGGAATGGGTTCCAACAAACTAGCTCATGTATCAGGTTTGTATTGTGGTTCTAATGCCTGGAAGCCTTCTGATATTGCAAGCTTCACAACTCTGTCCCACATACGGAGAGTCTAGGTAAGTCCCCTGTGGTCTCCACAGTTGTAGTTTTAGAGTCCATGAGT